CTTACATTTTCTCCATCTGAGTTGGCTCCCTGTCTGCCCTGGTTTAGTTTTGCCTGTTTTAGAACATCCTATAAATGGAATCAAGGGATGTGGAGTCCATGTGTCCAGTTCTGTTCACTCAGCATGATGTCAGGAAGGCTCAGCGATGTTGCTGCCTGTAGTCCTTTTTCATTGCTGCGTAGTATTCCCCACCTCTGTTTCCTCATCTTTGACCAGTGAACATGAGAATTGTCTTGCTTTGGGGCTTCCACAATCAGGGCTGCTGTGAACAGTCTTGGCCATGTGTTTCCTCCTGAGTATCTACACCATGGAGTGGAATTGCTGGACTGGCCTGTCTTCAGCCTTGCTTGATAATTACAGATGGTTTTTAATAATTACAGATGATTATTACAGATGCATTGTTGTAACCAGCCGTACATTGCAGTGGATGAGAGTTTTAGTTGCTTCGTGTTCTCGCTGGTGCTTGTAGTATTTGTCTTTAAAAATTTCTATCAATTGGGCCGGCCCGGTGGCGCACTGGAGAGTGCGCTGCTTGGGAGTGTGGCGGCACTCCCGCTGAGGGTTCGGATCCCATGTGGAGACCGGTTCCCGCTCACTGGCTGAGCGCGGTGCGGGCGCAACACCGAGGGTTGCGATCCCGTTACCAGTCAGTAAAAAAAAGACAAAAAGGAAAAAAGAATTTCTATCAATTGAATGTTTATATGATTTTATATGGATTTGTTTTCTTTCTTTCTTTCTTTTTTTGGAGGCTGGCTGGTACGGGGATCCAAACCCAAGACCTTGGTGTTACCAGCATCACGCTTTACCACTTTACTGATGGATTCGTTTTCTTCTCTTGCTTTTTGCACAAGTGGGAATACACGATGCCTGCGCCTCTGTCATTCTTATTTCTGGCTTTATCATCCTCCTTCTCTGGGAAGATAGACCTCAGTTAATCTGGCCAGTTCTAGAGTGAGGTCTGCAGTCTCATGTGAATTCCTCATGCTGCCACCACTTGAGCTCCTGGTCTCTTTAGCATCCCGCGGGGTTGTTAGATTTTCTTCATAAAAGGATTTATCTCAAACAATAGCTGCAGCCAACCAGCTGATCATTATGGTTTCTCCCTTTGCAGTTGTGAGATATCTCCTGGGAGAAATCACTAAATTCAGCTTGTTATTTTGCTTCCATTGTTGAAACCTGCTCCATTGGGGGCGTCTGAAACAGACCTGGTGGTTGGGGGAAGAAAAAGAGAGGCATGGGGATGACTATCAGGTGTGGATCCTGAGCACCCGAGGGCGCAGAGCTGCCTTTAGTGAGATGGGGAAGACGGTGGGAAGGGCGCATTGTGGTCATGCAGCATGCAAGTCCCCCATGTGGTCACACAAAGGAGGCCGATGTCATGTGGGACAGACCCGAGGATTCACCAGTGTTTAGATGGTGTTGAAGTCCCAAGACTTGATGGCATCTTGGTGTGGGGAGAGGAGGAGTGTGGAGAGAGAAGAGGTAGGCTCTGAAGCCCCCTGCCCCCCATGTTGTGGGCAACACGAAACATCCCACCCCGAAAAGCACAGACTTTGACCTCAGGCTGACCAGGGTTCAGTTCTGGGCCCTGCTGGATTTAGCTGTGTAGTCCTGAATGGGTCACTAGCCCTTTCTAAACCTCAATCTCCTTTGGGGTAAAAACAGGGCCAGAGGACCAGCCCATGGCTCACTTGGGAGAGTGTGGCACTGACAGCACCAAGTCAAGGGTTAAGATCCCCTTACCAGTCATTTAAAAAAACAAAACAAAACAGGGCCAGAAATCCCAGCATCCGAGGATCGTCTTTGAGGACAATATGATGACAGTGAGCATTTTTTTTTTTTTGGCGGCTGGCTATGGGGAACTGGACCCTTGACCTTGGTGTTACAAGGCTGCGCTCTAACAGTGACAGTGAGCCTTAATTGAGCACTTACTGTGTGCCAGGCCCTACACTCAGAATGGCTCCATGAGGCAGGCTCTGGCCTGAGCCCAGAGGACAGGAGAGCACAACCAGCTCCAAGTGCAGAATGTCACTTAGACACAGTCAGCTGGCTCCCTGCAGATACGGTGGTCCCCACTCCAGAGGCCTTTCTCCTCTAAGGCCAATGGCAAAATGAAGCCCAAAATGAAACTGGAGGCCCTGCCATCCCTCCTCCCTTCCCCCTCCTCTGGGGCAGCAGCTGCAGAACAGCTGGGACTAGGGCACAGCCTTGTCCCCTGTCCCAGCATCTTTTGTAAATCATCCCCAGCCCCTGTGTACCCAGGGTTCATCTTTGGGAATTTAAGGACAAAGCTCTAGTTTTAACACTTTGCATTTTCTACAAGCTCCTCTCTTACCCCCCAGCCCATAGAAGCAAGACTCTTGGACTATTGATGGAAAGAACTGGGACAGAGAGGGAAGCCGGGGTCTCAAACCAGAGGCCCCATGTCAGATCTGAATTCAGAGGCCCCAGGCAGGACTGGGGCCCCAGTTGGCCCCAATCTCCCCACCTCCACCCTGCCCTTAATGTCCTGCCTGGAGCTCACTGAACACATTCAGCTCATTGATGGCTGCAGGCCATTGAGTTTGCAGTCGTCGGCATCACACTTTTTGGGGCACAGCTTTTTATTAGGAAAACTTCCAAACCCACAGAAAAGTAGGAAGCAGAAGTGAGTGAGCCCCAAACAGCAGGCAATTGGTGTCTCGATTTTTAAGGGGGACTGAGGCCCAGAGAGGGTGTCCTACCTGTCCAAAGCCACACAGCTGAAAGATCTGGGGCTTTTCCCAACTCAGTGGATTTGGGAAAGTTGGACCAGGAAGGAGACTGGGAAGGATTCACTCATTTCATCCAAAAATCACATTTATTGAGCACCTATTATGTGCAGGGCCTAGTGCTGGGACCTGCGTGGGGACGACACAGCCCTACCTTTACAGAGACCACAGTTCCTGCCTTTACAGAGACCGGGGAGCTCTGTGCTCAGAGCACAGAGTCCAGCCTCGGGGCCTGGCACCTGCATGGCTCTTTCTCCCTCCCATGTTTCCAAGTTCAGCTGAAGGAATTGAGGGTACAGGCAATCCCTGCCCCACTGGGTCTGCCCCGAATTCTTGCACTGATCTTCTCCCCTGTGTGTCTTGCCCCTCATCCTCCCTGACTTTAAACCTAGCTGTGATGCAGGCAGCCCAGGAAGGCCATGGCACTGACCTTGGGTGATGAGTGTGCTTCAGAGGCCTCCCTGTCTCTGGACTCCATGGGCCCTGCTGGCCTCTTACACACGGCAGCCTGGTCCCAGGCTCCCTGAGAACGTGCATGTATGGATTGCCCAGGCCCCATGAGGTCAGGGCAGCTACAGATGGGTAAACTGAGGCTCAGAAGTGGGAGTGACTTGCCCAAGGCCCCGTAGCAAGGGTGGGAAGGGACGCACGTTCTGGATAGGGTCCAGGAGGCAGGGGTGGGTGTGCTTGGGCAATCCCAGGGTGGGCAGAGACAAGGGAGCAGAGGCAAGAGACCAGTGGGCCTCCCTCCAGGCCTGGAAGGTGGGGCAGGACTCTGACCCCTGGCAGGGCCAGTGAGGAGAGGAAGGTGGATTTGTGACTCTCCCCAAACCCTGCCCAGTGCTTGATGGGGGTAGGGTTTGGCCCAACTTTGGGGGGTGCTAAGGAGCTGTGCACCCTTAGGCCTGCAGCCTGAGGTCTGTGGCTCTCAAAGCCATGGTTCTTTTAGTTCACAGTGTTTTT